TGGACGACATGAACTGGGTTAGAGAAATGAAAATGGGGAGAGATTTGCAAATCTATGTGCATTCAACAAATTGGTTATAGGCGGCATAATATTTCCACACAAACGCATACACAAAGCTAAATGGATCTCACCGGACCATGCCACAGAGAACCAGATTGATCACATCTGTATCAACAAAAAATTCCGGAGATCAATGGAAGATGTGAGAACCCGGAGAGTAGCTGACATAGCTTCAGATTACCACCTGGTTGTGGCCAAGATGAGACTGAATCTAAAGAAAGACTGGACAACTGGACAAACCAGATAGATCATATTTGTATCAAAAAAAATTCCGAAGGACAACGGAAGACGTGAGAACCAGGAGAGTAGCTGACTTCGCATCAGATCAACACCTGGTTGTGAACAAGATGAAACTGAAGCCAAAGAAGCAGTGGACAACTGGGGAAATGGCATTATGAAGGTTTAATACAGCCTTCCTTCAAGGTACTAACATACTCAACAACAGGTTACAAGCTGTACAGCATCTACTGAAAGAAGAAAAAACTACGATGGAGGACAACTGGAAAGGGATTAAAGAAGCACTAACTACAACGTGTCAAGAGGTTCTGCGTCGCAAGAAGCATCATCATAAGGAATGGATCTCTATGGGAACCCTGAACAAGATTGAGGAAAGGAAGAACAAGAAGACAGCAATTTACAACAGACGAACACGAGCAGAAGAAATCAAGGTGCAAACAGAGTTCACAGAAACAAGCAAAGCTGACAAGCAGAAATGCATGGGAGAACTAGCAGCGACGGTGGAAAGAGCTGCAAGTGAAGAGAAAATGAAACAACTATATGATGCAACGAAGAAACTAGCAGGAAAATATAGTAAACTAGAGAGACCAGTCAAGGACAAAGAAGGAAAGACAATCACTGGAATTCAAAAACAGAGGGAAAGATGGGTAGAATACTTTGAGGAATAGCTGAATAGGCCAGCTCCATTGAATCCACCGGACATCGAAGTAGCATACACAAACCTTCATATAGATGTCACTTCACAAATATCGAAAAAATCAGGATGGCCGGCCATTAGACGAATCAAGAATTGGAAGGCAGCAGAAGCTGACAATATACCAGCTGAAGCACTGAAGTCAGACATTGAAGTAACAGAAAACATGCTTCGTCTTCTATTCAAGAAGATTTGGGAGAAAAAAGTGCCGACTGAAATTTTTTTCGACACTATGGTGTACCTTAAAAAATCATCATCGTCATCATACGGAATTAATACGATGGACCACATTGGAAAGTCGTGCATGGATGACAGATTACAGACGAATTACAAGTGAGGACCATAGTCAGGCAAGGACGCTTACTCCCCTTTTTCTTCTCCTTCTGATGGTTCATAAAATTATGAAGACCTCCACATCTGAGGAGAAGCATGTGATACAATTGACAGCAAATACAGACGAAGACAACTGGCATACAAACAGTTATTAAAAGTAGTCGGCCTCAACATATATAAAGCAACAGGAAGATCCTCCAAAACACCACGGAGAACGTCAAGCCAATCACACTTGATGGAAAACTCTAGGTGATGTGGAATCTTTTACGTACCTGGGAAGAAACATTGAGGAACATGGAGGATCTAATGCAGATGTTAAGGCAAGGATCGGTAAAGTGAGGACAACGTTCTACGATTGAAGAACAAATCAAACTCAAAACAACTATCCGCAAGCCAACATCAAAGTCACAATCTTCAATACGAACGTCAAGACAGTTTTACTGTACGTAGCTGAAACGTGGAGAACTACTACAACCACCATCAAAGAAGTAAAAGTAATTACAAACAATTGTATACACAAAATACTGAATATACGTTGACCGGATATCATCAACAACAGCCTACTTTGGGAGAGAACAAACCAGCTACCAGATGAAGAGGAAATAAGGAAAAGACGTGAGAAGTGGATAGTACATGCATTGAGGAAATCATCAAACTGCATCGCGAGGCAAGCCCTAACTTGGAATCATGAATGGAAATGGAAAAGAGGAAGACTAAAGGACACACTGTGCTAGGAATTGGAAGCAAACATGAAAAGGATAAACAGGAACTGGAAATAACTGGAAAGGATTGTTCAGGAAAGAGTTGGCTATAGAATGCTGGTGGGTGGCCTATGCTCCTCTATGATGGGTAACAGGCGTAAGTAAGTTAGTAAAGTGTTACTCGCTGCTCGAGCAATTCACACAATAAACACAAAAATAATACGCTCACTTGAAAGTTTATTACCAAACGATTAACATTTTTAAGATTTTTCATCAAAGTTATTACAACAATAAAGTTCAACAGTCAACAAATTGACCCATCTCAACTCAACACATTTGTTCTTGTCAATCTTTCGTGTCATGATTAAATCATGATTAGTTTCATGTACGACAAACTATCATTTGTTTACATGTTTTTTGACCTCATTTAAAATGAGTTTATGACACTAATATATGAACTTTAGGTTCCACTAGGAAAAACACTGGAATTAATACTATTAACTATTCAGTGCAATATTTAGGCATAAATGACCCATCAAATCTTAGTTCGAAATGATAAACACTAGGTTCAAAGGTTAATTGTGATCATCAACACCAGGGTGTACATTATGAGTTAACGAATAGACGAAATCCTTTTTTTAAAATTCTGCTACCACTGTTCATCTGAAAAAGTTATAATTCACTTTGACTTGAGATAGTTCTCCATTAACTTTCCTCAATAATTAAAATCACGATCCTCAGATTTGAGTCCGATTAAGTCAGTCACTGAATTACTTATTTTTACGCAGAGAAATCTATTTTAAAAATAATTCCCGATATTCATAATTTAAGTACAATCATTGTATTTATGACTTTTGGATTGAGTGAAAACATAATTTATTCTCAGTATGTATACCGTTACAAAAATAAATCGACACAATTTATATTCTAGTTTTCAGCATGTATGGGAAAATTCTCTTCGTGTCTAGTTCTTCTATTCATTTGAAAGAAAGTATTATACGTCACACAGTTGAATCAATGGATTTCTCAGTTAAATATCAAACTTGATTGGTTACAGTTAATAATTATTAAAGATTAGATAGTATATTACTGGTCATTTATGTACTCGATTATGTATGTGTTAAGAGAATAATGTTCTGATAATTTACTCTTTTAAGTGGTGTAGATATAACTTATCCATTTACTTATCACTGACGTAATTTTTATTATTATTTCCATCTGTGTTATATCCTGGTGAAGACATAAGCACGGGTAACTCCCAGGACTTATTCTATATGTATTCTTATTGTTTAACTATTGAGTAATTACATTGTGCATATCTATATTCATCTTCTTATAAGCTTCATTCTTACCTATGAATTATTATTATACGAATTACTGTTCCTAAATTATACTCAATTAATTAATTACTGTTTTCCACGTTCACAGCCACATTTGGCTCGATCTTATACAAATATTATTTTCTATTTTATGGTGTAATGTGGTCTGTCTGTCTGGTAAATAAACCGAGTATGCTTGAAATAAAGGATTCGCGTAGCAGAAGCTGCGAAAAAAACACGACAATCAGGACGTGATTTTGGGAATCAATCTGTTAAATAAACTTTCATAATAATTCTACTACTTAGGACGACAGTTATTCTCTGGATTTTTTTCAATACATTATTCAAGGTAGACGCTATTGTTGGAATTAGATGTTCAAAATCAAATTTCTAATTAATGAACTTTCATTGCTGTTCTAGATTACATCATCAGAACTCATTTTTTTTAAAAAGTATAAATTGATAAAACTGAACTACCTAGGTCAGAGTATTCAACTTTATGCTTTCCTAGTATTTTGCCAAGTTTTAGAATATCATTACAATACTACTTGTATGTTGGGTAATTTAATCACTTACTTCTACTAAACTTCTTTTGGCGAGACTACAATTTATGGACGAACCAATCAGGGATAAGATAAAAGGTCTCAGATTTTGGCGCGAAATTCACTCATCAAATTGGCTAAATAGAGTTTCGGCATTATTGCTGATATCATTTCGTGATGAAAACCCGAACTATAATTTCTAATCTTGACCATCAACTGTAAATCATAATTCCAATACTTATTTGGTTCAAGTTATTCGGTAGAGACTCTCAAGATCAGTCTAGTGTTGTTCAAAGGTCGTTCATAAATTATAGTCTCACTCTTCTATTATTTTTTCATTACATCACTCAGTATAATTAAAAACAACCTATTGTGTTCAAATGAATTAATTATTTATTTTAACAAACTAATTTTTAATAAAAATAAATACTAAAATCTCACTTCTACCATTTAATCAATGTCAATGAATTAAAATAATAAATAATTACATACACACATAACTTATTAGTCCATTTAATCAATTATAACATGATCCCTCAAAATTTATTATTTAATAGTTGAAACCGTGAAACAATCGAAGCTAGAGCACTATGGAAAACATGGAAGCACTGGATGGCTGTTTCGTCCCATTGTGGTTCACCTCAGCAATGCGCATCCACGATCCCTCCCTTAGCAAGATTCGAACCCAGGACCTGAAATCTTCACAAAAACCCATTTCCAATTATTATTTTGTTAATTCTTTTCCTAACAATTAAAACATATTGATCATGCCTATGAGCCGAATATTATTCACCCATCATTATCATTATGAATCTATTTATTGTCTGTTTGTCTATCTATATCTATCTAATTTAATGATTGGTGTATCAACATTATATAGAGACATAAAACTAAAATTATGATAGGTTTATTAATACAAAGTTTAGAAGCAATGAATATTGAATGATTTCATTAAAAAAAATACCTTCAATGATTATTATAGATAGATCTAATGGGTATAAATTTGGATTAAAATTAATAATTTTCTACGATTGAGAAACAAAAAAAATTTTTTATTTTCTAAAGCGTCTTTAATCATTTATTATATTAATATATTGGTTATCAGAAATCAATAATGACTGATTGTCATCAATATATTAATAATGATAAACATTCAGTTATAATAGATGGTAATTGTATCAAAGATGATTGTATAGCATTTAGTAATATCAAAGATAATCGTACATCTAATACAAGTATATTTATTGATAATCAACATAAAAATGGTCAAAATTCAATACATTTATGGAATTCACATAAATATAATCATGTAGATATATGGAGACCACGTAAAAAATGGGAATTTTGTTTAATATTTTCATTAATAATTATATTAATTTTATTGATTATATTTATTACATTATGGGGTGTTCAATTGGTATTTAATCAAAGTAAGTTATTGATTTTGGTGCTAATATTTCTTTGAAAATTTTGTCCTTTTTTTCTATAGTACTTAGCAATTATCACATTTTATATAGTTGAGATCATGAGTCAATTAAAGCTAGATTAACATGGAAAACCTGGAAGCATTGAAGTACTGCTGAGGAGTCCTACAATTGGAAGAAACTGCCGTCCAGTGCTTACAGGTTTTTCATGACTTACCATGACTTGAAATATCTAACTCGAACAAAGGCGTCTACCTTGAATAATGTATTGAAAAAAACCCAAAAAAATTACTGTCATCCTAGGTAATAGAATTATTTAACATACATTTTTTTTCAAAGCTCATAATCAGTAAACTTAAATTCTCTCTGAACTATAACGAAATAATTTCATTGCCCAAAACAATTTAAATACAGTATTTCTAGCATTTTTACAAGTTACTCATTTAGTTAATCATTTATCAACTTATTTGATATATTATGTAGTTGAGATCATTAGTCCGTTGAAGCTAGACCACCATGGAAAACTTGGAATCATTGGAGTACTGCTGAGGAGTCCCACAATGGGACGAAACGGCCGTCCAGTACTTTCAAGTTTTCTATGGTGGTCTAGTTTGATTGAATCAGGATCTCGAGTATATAAAATTACTAAAATCTTCACAAAACCACCTTCTGATAATTGTCACATTTAATAATGTCTTTTTTGAGTTCAGTAGTAAATGAATGTTGAAAAGCTGAAGAAATTGTAGTGAAGAATATAAATCAACTTAATTGGGTAGTTACATATAAGGCTTAGAAACCTATTTCGGATAACTTGGTAACAAATTCAAATGTCATGTACTAGGATTTGTATAATATTTAGTGTGAGGGATAATGAACGTTAATTTACTAAGCAAATTAAGGTATGTGGAGTAAGATTTCAATCTCATTTCAATTAGTTTAAAGTCAAGTGTTATCACTATTAGATCAATGATCTATAACGTAAACTGAACTTAACACTCATACATACTACATGACTTTTATTGAAATAAAAATTTACAACATTACTTTACATTTCGGTGATGTTATGATTATATTCAACAATGGGTTCATGAATAAGAGAAAATACTAATTCTTAATAAGTAACAAAACTTTTATTTCTCTGTCAATTTTCTTGTTTGAATTACTTGATAGGTGATTGACAAGTGATATGTGAACCTATTTAAAATTTGAGATGACACAAAACTAAAATCATGTTTTTATGTTCTAAGGGTGTAGATAAAATGTTATCAAATCTTTTCAAGAATAATCAACACCTTCTGGGACTGGATGCTTTATTCTAGAGTTTAGTTAAATTGCATATAATAATCAATCTAGGTTGATCTCAACAACCGATTATTTTCTACACTGTAGTAGATAAAAGACCTTTAGAGTTAGGAAACTGATCATGTATATTAAACATTCAGACTTCTAAACAGTAATAAATTCAACAAAATCTACTTGTAGGTTGTTTTATACTTTAGTCAAATTCCATACTACTAATCTTTCAAATATATCTGCATATTGGAAATTTTTTGCAGTTCACTCCATAAGCTTCAATTATACATCTAATAACTCCTTGTTGGTATCTGTGACTCAGTGCTAATAAGAGATTGGTTTTCGAAAACATTTAACATGGTCTGATCACTTAGACAATGCAGTTCGAGTAAACTATGATCCACCACAGAGTGTAGCACAAAAATTAATCCGTTGATTAGTTTTTTAAAGTGCTAACGACTTAGAAACTAACAATGAACTAATTTCACAATTCATGTTTACTTATGTTTTACAGTTAAGCTCCTTTTATAAGTTATCCGTCATTAGCTTTATTGTTCTGACATTGTATTGCTAATATTTACCATGGCTTCTCTTCGGCAAAATAAAATTAATATTGACCACTGAACTCTGAGTCCAGTGAAGTGATAATCAGTATAGGGTAGTGGAGATTTTGGAGTTTTGATTGAGATCATGAATTGATGAATGTTAGACCACCATTGAAAACCTTGAAGCATTGGACGGTCATTTTGTCACAATATGGGACTCCTCAGCATCATGCGTCCACGACCTCTTACGTAGGACTAGAACCCAGGACTTTTAGTCTCGTGCGCGAAAGTCTAACTTCTAGAAGTGATTATGTTTTTATCAAATATTTTATGCAACATGTTCCAGTGAGATAAAACCAGAGTATTATAAAGTTAAATACATAACGGTAAATATTTTATCTCCATACTGAAAACTCCATTAGTTCACCATTTACATAATAATAACTTATTATTTGAATTTTATCATAACGCGGTAGCATTAGTTTACAAGAACTGATGGAATGTTTTATTGATGATAATTCTAAAATTATAAAATTCTTGTATGTAGCTTTAAAGTGATTGAATTCATTGATATTCTTCATCTAAGACAAATTCCACATCGGTGTAGGAAAAGACTTATGCACAGATATCTGCCATCATAAATGTTGACAAGTAAATTTTATAAGTTTATTTCGCTTCCGGATAAAAAAAATAGTTATTTAATTCTTATTCACAAGTATATTAGTATTCACGAGATTGTCTGGTATTCTGTCTCTTCCTTGTTCACATTTCAGATATTATTGGTATATTGGTTATGTACTCATTTTCCAATTAGCCGGGAACAAAAATGCTTCCTAAAATTGTCTTCTTAGTTTCAGGCTTATAATTAGTATTACTTGATTGTCTCAATGTATGGCTTCATAGCCCACTATCAGAAAATGCATATGATTACTTAAGTATTTTTTGTGATCAATGACCATGTCAATAATTCTAATGAATTATTAGTAACACAATTCATTAAAGGTTATGGTAAGATTTTTTAAAAACAAAGTAGGTAAATAAGTAGTCCTTGTTGTGAGCATCAACAGAGGGATGTAAATGAATTAAACTGACGAGTCCCAAATGAAAATAAACATTTATCTTCAATTCCACATCTAGCCATTTATGAAATATACTAGAAAGCCTAGAAAGTTTTAAATTTTGTTGTTTATAATCAGTAGTTGTTGAATTTCAGAGTCATTCACTAGTTGATCATTTCTAGTGATTATTATGCATTAAGCCTACTGGTTATTACTAACTTGCTAATTCAGATATATTGGCTTTGTGATAAGAGAGCTCATTTTTTATTGTACGACTAATGCATCTATTAAACAGATAGTTACAATAAACTGACAAAAGTAGGTACGAATGTTATTTCATTCAATAAGTAATTTGATTTTTTTAATTATCAATCACGATATGAGCAAAAGGATTCGGCAATTTTCGTCCGAAACATTCCTCAGAAATAGGTTACATTTATTTATTAATTATTTACCAGCTCCTTAGATTATCACTTAATTGGTAATATTATATTAGTTGAAATCATGAGTCAATTGAAGCTAGACCACCAAGGCAAACCTGGAAGCACTGAACGGCCGTTTTCCTTGGTGGTCTAGCTTCAATTGACTCATGATTTCAACTATGAAAATATTGAAATCTCTACAAAACCCCTTCTGAATATTATATTAATCACTTATTAATTATTTCGTTAAACAGATTTCTTAAACTAAATGTTTATTTCTACGATTTTTCTGGCTGTTTTTTTATGTTATCAATATTTCTGTATTTCCTATTTCAGACATCTACAATGTCTGTTATAACTAATAGAATTTTTTTACGTCATTTAATATTGGTGTTATTTTAACTGTACATCAAATAATGGACTTTCATACATTTAATTCTCTTTATCATTTTGAAAAGAACAAAAACAAAGATTTCCATTATTCTGTTCTCAGATACTTGATCACACAACCATCTAATGTATCAGCATGGGGATTCATAGAGATTGTAGTATTTTCACATTTGAATTCATGAGTTGATCTAAACTAGACAACCAATGAGAACCTCGAAGCGCCAGACGGTTGTTTCGCCCTAGTATGGGACTCCTCAGCATCGCGCATTCAAGATCTCTCGTATGGGGCTCGAACTCAGGACTTTCGATTTCATGATCACTAGTGACTAGCTTCGAAAGGTAATTCTCGGAGTTCTAGTGAAAAGCTATGACCAGAGAAACTCAACCGTGTCAGATTTGGGGCAGTTATCCACCTCAAACAATGAATGACGTGTTGAAAAAGACCATGGATTGGTTGGAGTTAAACAATAACACCGTTGAATACCGGCTCAGTGGTCTAAAAGTTAAGTGTTTGCGTGCGAGATCGTAGACGCACATTATTGAAGAGTCCCATATTAGATCGAAACGACTATCTAATGTATTTTTATTCTATGCATTCTAATGAGCAGTTCGATATTCTGGGTTTTCCTCTTTCACACTATATTGAAATCCTTGCTGCGTCATGATAGACATTTTATTCTCAAATCATCTTTGGATTTAAATGTATACCAATTTCAATGATAAATTTGACTTTAAAATGTTATAAGTTGTAAGCAGATGATCAGGATCTAGGTAAATAGAATGAATGTTTATGATTCTGCATCACTCCTTGTATTTACTTTCTTCAAAATAATGAACTATCTACTCATAAATACTGCCTTCTCGTGGCGGGAGTGTTGTTTACGAAATCGAGAGAACGTAAAGCGAATGTCCGGTCCTTTAAACGGATTGGTGGACACGGAAAGTTCACCTAAGGGAGTTGGAAAACCCTGATTCTAAACCAATGGTTCATATGAGCTCCAGTATTCTGAGGGAACAAATGGCGTAAGAACCAATCGTTCATCACCGGCTACCATGAGACTGTATTTCCTGGCGTTGCTCCACCGCTTTGTGGACCTTTAGGTCAAAGGCTCCGGGTATGGCCCACTAAGAAAACCACCTGCTTTAGTGTGAGCACCTGAGCAGTATCACAGTCCTCACACAAATCAAATGAGATTTGTATGGTGCATATATATCTGGTGCCCCCTTTGTACCAATATTTATGTGTTAGAATAAATCAATAATTTATGACAAGTCGATGAATAATATACTCTATGGGT